GTCTTATACACATCTAGATGTGTATAAGAGACAGGAGAGAGAGAGAGAGAGAGAGAGAGAGAGAGAGAGAGAGGGCAGGCTGGAGAAAAGACGGAAGAAATCACCACCCACCCAGCTTATTTCAGAGACATGCTAAAAAGGTGAAGAGAGTATAGCACGCACCTTCAACGACAACTGTGGAAGAAGGCTTTGAGACCAAAACCCGGGATCAACGACAATAGAACGACATGGCCTGATGATCAAGAAGCTGTCACCTCAGCAGTCTAGAATATACAGGGACTTGATTTTGAGGGGTTGTAGCTTGCTCCTCTAACATTCATTTTTAATGATCTACTCAGAAATCCGGTGCCGACAAAAAAACTACACCCACGATCAACCCTCCCCGACCACATCCTTACTCCCGCTAGAAAACTAGCTAGCGTTTGCAGTAAACACTGCACCCTTTACCGGTTCCTGGAGCACAGTAGAAACTTACACCGTAGCCCATTCCGGAGCACACAAGAAACAGTTGGTAACCTGTGCTGAAGATTCCCACTGGTGACCTGTCATGAACTGACACTGGCATTCTCTGATCAGCACTCTGTCGAAGGGGGAATCGCAAGCTCATCAACATTCATCAGGGACAGACAGTAGCAGCAGAGTGCCCCACCTCTGCAGAGATACTCCAACTCGGCGATCACATGCTGCTGCTGGCGCTCGGCGATCACATGCTGCGGCTGGCGCTCGGCGATCACATGCTGCTGCTGGCGCTCGGCGATCACATGCTGCTGCTGGCGCTCGGCGATCACATGCTGCTGCTGGCACTCGGCGATCACATGCTGCTGCTGGCGCACATGAAACGGAGAGAGAGACTCTGCAGCAACACCTGCTACCCAAGAAGGAGAGAGTTGTCGACATCACTTAAGATATTCCTGTCTAGTGGTGGGAGGTTCAGTTGCCAACCATCCACAACGGGCTCGTCTTCGGCAATAGTATGTGTGTGTTGCTTAATCCACCACGCGAGGACTTTCATCGGACGCTTTTTTCGGACCTCTCTTCAGCAGCACCTCTGAACGCTAAAATGTGTTTCGCCCAGGACGTTACAATATTTTTGTAGCCCTTGAGAACTTCAAAACGCCTCAAAACCATCTCTCTTGACGATCGGCGCCCTTCTGGATTTCGCCACCTCGAAAATAGACCGACCAACCTTTCACCCATTAGCTTCATGAATAAGAAACAGGTCTACGTACGACGAAGCTTGCTCTCGAAAATGGACAACCCTGCAGCATTCTCACCTCTCCTGAGTTCTCTCCCTTGATTCATGAATAAGAAACCGGTCCTCGTACGACGAAACTTGCTCTCTTCACGTCCGCATCATCGGGTATGAGACATGGGCCTGGCACCACTAGACATTGCTATTCGTTTCTGGACCTCGGTCTTGTCCCGATACATTCAAATTGCTGGACTCCTCCAAATGCACCTAGTCCAGAAAGCGTCCAAATGCATGTAGATCGTTGAGTCGTGCAAATCGTTGAGTCGTGTAGATCGTTGAGTCGTGGATACGAGACATCCCTCTGAGACTGCCAAATCCACCTTTTGCAGAAGACAATCTCCGTCGTTGCCGTGTTTCCCCTATTGTCGAGGTATACCCAAAGTATAACGACTTCGAGATTCCACGTGCTGGGCTTTCTTCATCGGACTGCCAGTGAAACATACCAACCCAATCGATGATCCCATATTCATTCTTACAGCACATAATTGCAGTCAGATGCATGCACTTCCATCGATGAATGAATTCAGTGATTCGTCGAACTGAAGGATAAGCGACAGCAAAGACAAGGGAAGGGCTCAGAACCGCCGGAAAACCAGAACATGGCAGCAACGACAAAATCTGTTGAAGGCGGCAACACCACCGAACAACTACACTTGCATGCTCAAAGTCGCAAAGCTTACCTTGCTGATCGCAAGATCCCTGTGACAGTGTTTCGACCGCGCTAGAGTTTATATCCCCCTATACATCAGTCCACACAACTAAGATAGGAAATCTTCAAGTATCCGTCAACGCCACCGATCCTAAGGACTAGTCATCTTCCAAGATTACTGCATGGCACCAATTTTGAAACCCAGGTGCTGGAACTGAAGTGACCAAATACCATTGCAAAATGCAATGCCAGCGGATGATTCACAAAACACTAGCAGTAGGGGAAAGCAATCTTCTTTATTCCAAAAAAAAACCTCTAAACTCCTTCCTTGTATCAGGGCATACTCACGCTACAGCTTTTGCAAATCATCTCTGGACGTAAATTGCAGTGAGATGCACGCCGTTGAAGCCACAATTCCGGTGCAATACATCCAGCAATGTACCAGTGTGAGTGCGTTCCCAGCATTGCAGCATGGCAGTTTCCTCTGTCCCCCCMCCCCCCCCCCCCCCCCCCCCAAAAAAAAAAAAAGCAGGGATGGCTCCTTCAAGCACCCTTTCATGTTGAACTTTTTGGAAGCTGCCACTTTCGATGCTGCCTTTTTTTCACACTCGGTGCTTCTTATTCAGAGCACGTCAGTAGGACTTCACTTGCCTTTGCTGGAGATTCTGCGCCCGCTCCACTAGTCTCTCTGTCGAACCCATCGATGTCATGCCGACAACAAGTCTTGCAACCCCCCAAAAAGTGAACCCCAACAAGTCTTCAAACCCCCAAATAAGTCTTGCAAACCCCCAAAAAGGACTGCACCTTCGCTGCCTTTTTTTCCAGGAGCTTTGCGATGCAGGACAATGTGTTGAAGGACATATATGGATGGGTGGAAGCGTCATCCGGTGCGCAAAATTCCCCAAAAAGTGACCCACTAACACAAATGTTTGGCGCAATTAACCCATAAAACGGATCGAAAGAGAAGCGGCATAGCAGTTGAGAGACGAGAGTGCTACTGCGTGAAACTCGACCATAGTAACAAGACAAGATGACCAGCCTGGACCTGCCCAAGACCCACTTCCGATCCTTGCTCTCTTTACCCAACACTCCGTCCATCACTCACTCCTTTCACACTCTCCTCTCCCCTTCTCCTGTATTTTCCAACAACTAACACGTTGAATCAAGCTGCTGGGGTGTTCCTGTCCTGTGCGTGTTTGTGCGTGTGTAGGGGGGTGGGGGGGGGAAGGAACAGGCCCAGGGAGCATATGGAAAGATGGAGTGTCGATAAAGAGTGCGAAGAGCGGGCGAGAGTAGGGGCCACAATGATAGGTGGGCAAGACCCGGTCCCCTCTGTTGCCAGAATCTCTGCTGTACAGTGTGTCAGTAGTGTGCGTGCCACCAAAAACCAGGTGCAGTAACAGGGAACCAAAATACACTCCACATGCTTATGGCCAGCTACCTGTATCCATTCTCCGTTGGGCCTGCATCATCTGCCGGGGGGGGAGCGACGGCAGAACTGAGCTCCACTTTTGAGACCCTAACCGTCCCAAATAGCTGCTCTGGGAGTTCTTCCTCCGTGTTTCCCTGCAATGAATAAGAGGAACAATGCCGAAAGACAAGACAGGCTCAGTCAGCATACTTAACTACCAAGCAGTAACTAGTTAGTTAACTACTACTAACTATCAGCATAGTTAACTACTAAGTTACTAACTATCAGCATAGCTAACTACTAAACACTGTAAACAGTAACTACTATCAGCGTAATTAACTACTAACTATCAGCATAGTTAACTATTGTTGGAATTTTTAAGAAAGTCGCAATAAAGGCGCGGCGCGACCGGGAGCGCCGCGCCTCCCGCCCTGCCATCGGCCCAGCCCGTCGCGCGCCCGTGGTGCTTCATCGTTTTCATGTCTGCTGGTGCGGTTTTCCTCGCACCCCCGCGGTGCTTCATCGTCTTCATCTGCTGGTGCGGTTTCGGGCGATCTTACGCAAGCACAAGGGTGATGGCGGTTGGGGATGCTATCGCTTAGTGCGTGGAGTGTATCTTGAATGGCCATCAACGTGTAAGCCTTCGCTTGGGTGCACTTCCAGCTTCGCCAATTAGGAAAGTTGTCTTCGGCTCTGCGCTTTGTCCAAGTGGTGTCGCAGTCGGCACGCTGGCGAAGGGGAGACTGTCACTGGAAGAAGGGCGATCTCCATGAGACTTTGACCATAGTTGAGGCCTTGTTTCTCTGTTCCTGCGAAGTGTTGAGGCGGTTGGTTGGGAGTCGCGGGCGGAAGGGAGGAACGCGTTCTCACATGGAGTGGGAGGAGGAAGATCGTTCAAGTGCGCGCATCCGGAAGGGACTTCGACGACGTTTTGCTCCGACGCGTTGACCTTGTGTTTTCGTATGGATGTATTACTGTTCTTGTCCGATATCTCTGGTTAGAGTAATCGTTATTGCTGTTAAATTCCATGACAATTCGATAATTACGATCGGGGTTATACTCGCAGCTATTTCCCAAGGTAAGGTCAATCTTTACGATCGGGGTTATATTCGCAGCTTTTTTCAAGATAAGTTCAATCTCCTCAATTACAATCTTAGTTTGGTCTTAGCTTCACTTTAACATCATCTATTCTGAATCGTTAGCATATCTGTACGAATCATTACGATAATTACACAGTTTTGTTCCTTGGCTATACCCTTTAATCAATCCTGAGTGTTTCTGAATTTCACTAACACAGCATATCTGTAGGAATCATCACGAGAATTACCCAGTTTTGTTTCTTGGCTATACCCTTTAATAAATCCTGAGTGTTTCTGAATTTCACTATCGTAGCTTAAATTCTGATAGTTTTTTCCAAATTGGTGGGAGTTGTCTTCTGTTCATTGGGCGCAAGGGGAAGGGAAATAATTGTAATAAGCTTTACTGCTGCCCTGCGCCCTCTTCAATGGGTCATTTTTAAGAGAAAATCCCGAGTTTATTCCTGAGGGCTGGATCGATAATTTCGAAGGGTAGAATTGGAAGAGTGGGGTGGATAGGGAGCGCTATCCTGCAGGGGATTCACAAGGAGGGGGGTGAATGTCTCGAAGAGGGTAGAAGCGGAGTTGGGGGTTTGTCCTGTTTCTGGGGCTGGGGTGGTGGGAGGGGTCAACATCGTCCTAAGTGGAGGCAGAAACGGGCAAGGGGTGGCGAGGGCATGTTTTAGGAGGGAACTGCGTGTCCTCAGGGACAGGGGTGGAGGGGGTCGGTCCTATATTGGGGCCAAGGGAGAGCGGAGGCAGTATAGGGCTGAGAAGGTAGGGGGAGGGAGGGGTGTTTTTTTCTTTTGAAGATTTCTGATCTTCCAGCCCGGCAATTTTTCTCTTTCGTCATTCCATTTGGCTCACCTCTCGAGGACGTTGTAGGAATAGGTGAAATCTGGCAAGTCATCTTTGATCCTGCGTAGGGTGGTTGAAAATTCGGTGGCCCTCGATGACCGATGCTGGAGCGACGCGGGCCGGAGCCAGAGCCAGGTGGCGGAACTCTGTGACCTAGCTTAGTGGGGGCGTGAGGCCTGGTAGAGATCTGGTGGGCTGTTTGCGGGGGGAGTCTCAGTGGTCATCGGGGGTCGTAACTGAAGCAATGCTGGCCGGCGCTGGAGCAAGGTGGTGCAACTCTGTAACCTAGCCTGATGGGAGCATGAGGCCTGGAAGACCTTCGGTTCGTGCTGAAAACAGCCATGCTGATGGTGATTGCAGGTGGACTGAATAGGTTTCACCTATCTGATTTGTGATTGGGAGGCTAGTTGACACACATTTTCTGAAGGTTTCTGAGTTTTCCTTTTCTTCAATTGTTCTTAGCCGATGCCGGGTAATGGCCCCGGTAGCTCTTTTTTTGTATTCTGATAAGGGACGCTGGGCCTGGTTCCCAGCTGTGTTGCTTCCCACGAATCAAAAAAAAAAAAAAAAAAAAAAGTTACTAACTATGAGCATAGCTAACTACTAAACACTGTAAACAGTAACTACTATCAGCGTAATTAACTAGTAACTATCAGCATAGTAAACTACTCGCTAGGTAGTTAGCTATACCTATTAGCATAGTTTACTAACTATCCGCATAGTTAACTAGTAAGTATCGGCATAGTAAACTACTAACCATACGGATAATTAACTAAACTACAGACATAGTTAACTACTAGCTAGTTAGTTAACTACTCACTATCAGTATAGTTAACTACTAACTATCAGCATAGTTAACTACTAACTACCGTCTTCATGTGAATAGAACGCCCGGTCATTACTGCTGCATCAAGACTGAAAGTTGGGCGAAATGCAGCTATAATGAGCGGGTGTTCTATTCGGGTGAAGACGGTAGCCCTCCACCCAGCCAAATAGCCAAGCTCCTTGCCTGCAAAATCCATATGAGCTTTTAAAAAGGAAGACCTTGGGAGACGTCTCACATAAGGTTTCAGCGAGGGCATAAAGGGAATTTGAAAGCCAATAAACAAGTGTACTGTGTACGTCACCTGCAGCAGAAAACACACCACTTCGATTTCTGTCTTGCATTCTAGATAAACAAGCACCCTCAACAAACCTCTTTGTCAAATGTACTTTTCTTTCCCAGACCCTGGAGAGCCAAAGTTACAAAACCTGACAGCTCTGGACCCCCTTCCCACTCATAACACGGGGCGCGACCAAGCTCTGGACCCCCTTCCCGGTCATAACACGGGGGGCGACCATATGTGCTTGATGCCCCCCCACAAAACTCTCACATGCTTTTCTTTCTCTAGCAGTTAACGGGGGCCCAAATATTCGCCGTTTTCGTTGGCAATTGCGGTGCGAATTTCATCAAAAATTTTAAAAACAAACGATATGAGACCACAGTGCAAACATCAAAAAAGGAAACAGGCCAAAAAAAACGAAAAAAGAAACAAAAAAATACTATGAAACCCTAACACAAAGACATTGTCTGAGTCAAAATGAAGCATTCAACGAATTCAACAAAATGCCAACTTTTTCATTATTGATCCAAACATGTCAAAAATGCACACATGACGTACCCTAAAGCACATATATATATCACACAAAAAGAAAAACAAGAAAAAAAGCAAAAAATCAGCACAATATGACAGTTTCAGTGCAATTCGGTGCAAAATTCGTCGAAAATAACACCCCTGGTTAACCACGTGTGCAATTTTTCCCAACACACTGACCTAACCGACATCCATAACATAGTCTCCATAATATCTGTGCAAGGATGTGCGTGGGATTTACCCTGATAAACCTCATGACACAAAGCATGGCAATCATATGCTAGCCAAAAGTCAGGTGAGCGATCACAGTGCGGCATCGAGCAGGTTTGATGGGTTTCCACAGCCGGCATTCCCTCCACGAGTCCATGCGCAGGTGATGAAGGGGCCTGATCTGAAGCAAAGGTGTTCAGCTGTTGCAAGATCTGGTCTGTAACCGCTCGCCCCGGTCGCAATAACCTTTCGGTACGTGGTTCATGTGAGAGTCCAATTGCCACCTCAGGCCGCCGCATCCGTTCCTCATCTGAGAAGGATAAGAGGGTCCAATTACGCATGCAGCTGGAGGATGCCCACTGTTGCACATGGGACACGAATGTAGAGGATGCCGTGATGATGGCATCGAAGATAGTCCATGCAATAGAGACACATCCTCTCCATGACAGCTTCCTGCAAATATCGTCAACACATCGCATGTTTTGTGTGCGCTTGCAATAATACGCAACTGCGCAATATATGCCCGACTGTGCCGGACTGTTCGTCCGACCTTCACCGACTTGTGTCGTGTGCTGTCATGTTCAATATACAGAACTGCACAGAAAAAGAAACTGTACTATCCCAGAATATCGCATCGGACAACACAGCCGTGTGTGCGAGTGTGAGATACAGAGGGGATGAGGTTGAAGGTGGGAGAGGGAGGGAGGGAGGGAGGGGGAGAGAGAATGCAAATGGAAGTGAGGAGACAAAAAGAGACGACAAGGCCGGATGGAGGAAATACCTGTATAACAAACCCCATGTCAACCACGAGCGATGTGATGAAGCTGAAGACCAGAGATAGTACGCCATTTGCCACAACCGATGACCCAATGTCCACATCAATCTGCAAAAGACCACCTTTCCCATCAGCAGTGTTTCCTCGTAACGCCCATCCTCCATTTCAAGGCATGCATGCTTTGTCTGCGCAGGCAGACATGTGCCTGCTTGCATTGCTGCTCAAGGCAGTGCAGCGCTCTCGAAGTCACCCTTTTTCTACCAGTACCCCTTCCTTGCCCAACTTAAGAAGACCTTTACTTTTACTCTTCTCTTCTTCTGCATGCTCCACTGTCTTTTTCTTTTCTTTTTTTTTCTCTTTTTTTTTTTTTTTTTTTTTTTTTTTTTTTTTTCGCTCCATGCACAATAAAAATTTAAAAGTCCCTGTCCATTCATGACAGCGAGTAAACAATTGAACGATTATCCCCATCATCCTCTACGCACACATTTCAAAGACCACGACTTGTCCGCATCATCCTCTACGCACACATTTCAACGAGCTGGGCTCCTTTTTTAACTCTTTTTTTTTTTTTTCCCCTTGTCACCTTCCCACACCCATGTTTTCGTAAGACATAACCTCCTTTCATGCAGCCTGGATTAGGGGGGGGGGGGGGGGGGGGGGGGGGGGGTATGGCACACTAAATGTTACATTGCAAGCTGCACTAGATTCGCGAAGGTCGCCAGAATGAGGGGCAGGCCTTGTTGGTGCTATGTTCACGGTTAAAAGGCTGGCGAGGACAGAACGCAATACACGTTCCATTGCTCGCAGCTGATGCATTAGACGGAAAGGTCACCAAATGAGGGCCAGGCCCCAGTCTAAAAAAGCTGGCGAGGGCAGAATGCAATACCCGGTCAATTGCTAGCTGTGCTTTAGCCGCAAAGGTCACCAAATGAGGGTCACGCCCCACTCGTCCAACGATCATACTAAGAAACCATAAACCCTCTCAATCAGCTGCTAGTCCCGAACATCGTCCAACGATCATACTAAGAAACCATAAACCCTCTCAATCAGCTGCTCGTCCCGAACATTGACATGCAAGATTGGGGCCTGCAGCTGAGTTTCGCCTCCAGTGTGGAAAAGGCTTGACCCTCAGTCTGCATCCAGTTACAGCCACTTCTGAGGGAAGGCAACCCAACAATCTCCTCCGCCATACAAGATATACAGTTTTGTTTTTACATTTACATCAATGACAGCAAACTGTCTTACCTTTCCCCATTTCATTTCTTCCAGTGCATGAAACTACATGCCCTTAACTTTCCCCAGCTCTCCGCACTTCTTTTTTTTTCCTTCCAAAAAGGTTGTTAGGGGTGTTGGGGACGGTGCGAGGGGAGGATGTCCGGCAGGAGGCTGCCTCCTGTCCGCGCAATGAACCCACCCACAGACAGAGAACACTCAAGCACAGAACCCACAGTCTCGACCACACACACAGGGAGGTATGGACCGGGATCGGTGCTACTCGGTCCCCAGCAACGGGATGCGCCGTACTCGAACTCAGGTTCCGGAGGTCCCCCAAGCCGCCCTGCCGGGAGGCGTTATCGCACCTTGTCACCCGCCACCGACGGAGACTGTCGTAGGCCTGCTAGAAGAACAGGGAATCCTGGTATCCCCTCCCCTGACTCTTCCCACTGAGCCCACCCCTTCCCTCGTCTCGTCCCGACATGACCCCGACACAACCCGAGAGGGGGTGCAAGCAATGCTCTCCGACCACCCACATGGAGCAATGTCGTGCGGCACGCCCAGAGGAACAGCCTCCCATGTGGCAGCAACAATGGCAGGAACCCACAGTTCGAAGCTGTGTCTTGAAACCCCTGCGCGCGGCCGGGTTTCGAGCATCGAGCCTCTTGCATTGCCTGGTGCACACACTAGCCTGCATCGGTCGAAACCCACTGGGCAAATGCAGAGGGTGCGGGTCCAAAGATTCAAACCTGCACCCTTATACCACAATGCGCATTTAACACCGGTGCTCTACCCACTGACCTGAGGCGGCTTTGTGCTCTCAGCAATTCTCTACATGTAGACAGCCCTGAGTTCTGTCTTTGACTGGGCCATATTTCCTTTTTGGGGAGTTAATGGTCCGGTGAAACTAGCCAGAACCTCAAGCCTCCAACTTTGGAATGCGCCCAGAGAGATGACAGGTTTCCACATACCTGTCAGTTTTCGTACACTTTAGCACCGCACACTTCGCAGAGGCCCCAAGGGTACATTCCTGGTAAACCCTAGTTACCATGGTTTTACAGCCACGGTTTTGATGCCATACATTGAACCATAGCACCACACACTTCGCAGATGGCATTCCCATATATTTACCCTCGGAGCCTTAGACAATTACGGCCGCGGTTTTGATGCCATACATTGAACCTTACAGATCCTGATGCGTGTTCTGGTCCTCATCTTCTGCAATAGGTCCTACACCCTCCACCCAAGAGGTGCAGTCTGCACACACACACACACACACACACACACACACACACACACACACACACACACACACAGAGGCAGTGCATGCATTTGCCTGTGTCTTGATATTTTGCTCTCCCTCTCTCAAGCTTGCAAACATTCTCTGCCAGGCAGTGCATGCATTTGCCTCGAGCACGTTGCTAACTGGAACTACATTCTGATTCACCATCATCCCACTGAACTCCACTACATTTTAACCGGTGGTGGGAGGGGGTGCAAAGTTGTTTTACCAGTGGCTGAAAGTCAGTCGTGCAACAACATGGATATCAAGTTAGTGTTCGACGACTTGAGAAGAGCTGAGTCTTAGTATTTTTCTCTCTCAAGCTTGCAAACATTCTTTGCCAGGCAGTGGATGCATTTGCCTCTAGCACGTTGCTACCTGGAACGACATTTTAATTCACCCTCATCCCATCAATCTCCACTGCATTTTAACAGCCGGTTAAATGAGACATCAATCTCCACAACTCTCAGGGCTGTGGGACTCAGAGGAGCTTGTCCAAGCGTTCTTTTTTTTCGCTCTCATAATTCGAAACAGGTCCTTGTGGTCCCGGCTCCTTGTCCATTCTGGGCCCGTCAGTCAAGTTCCAATCGACTGGCAAGCTTAAACATGAGATACATGCATGATAAGACCCTCCGTGCTTCCTTCAGTTCAGGCCGAAGGGATCCCTGACAAGCACTTATTGCCCCCGAGGGGAGGATCGACTGTAACACAGCCTCTGGAGTCTGAACCCTTGATATGCCAGGACAACACAAGGAGGGTACATCATGCCATGGGAGGCATGGACTGCTGACCACAAATGGTTGATATGTGGTGTCATTTTTTTGTATTATGAACCTGCATTGTTTGTTCGCGAAATTTTCGACGACATTGCTTGCAGTGATGCAGCGAAAAATCCCAAAATTTGGGGCTTCCATTAACCCTCTCTCCTGCTGAGTAGCTGACAGCCTTCCAACCCCTTATATGCCAGGACAACACAAAAAGTTACACCATGATATGGGAGCCATGGACTGGTCCTATGATTGCAAGGGAAAAAAACCAACATCTTGTCAGGGGGACAGGGAAGGGAGGCAGAGTCATCTCAGAGGTTCTCCGAAACTGGGGCATGGGCAGGACATGCTTTCTGGAACACTTGCAGGAATCAAATCGGTAGAGCGACGATCATTCACCTCCAAGTAGTTCTCTCCCCGATGATAGGTGCATTCAAGCGCCTTTCCGACAATGCAGGGGGTCGTGCCGACACTCTGCCTAACGAGCCAAGATCCCTGTACATGCAAGTGATCAAATAAGGGCGGGCATCAAAATTGGTATCCTGGAGAGAGAGAACTCGAGGGCTTCCCACATGAGACCTGACCATCTTTCTCGAAATAACAAACCAAACAAACTTCCAAAGTATGCTGTGCCTACCAGTACGTGCTCACCAGGTGAGATTTACATTGAGAAGTATTATTCCACATAAGGAGACAAGAACAGTTAACCACCAGTACTTCCTGAAAGGGCGGCCGCGGGGCGAG